CGTATACGATCTAAAAGGTGCCTGGACCAAAAGCAATCGCGATGTGGCGTTCGCTCTGTTCGACTCCTTTATGAAGTCTCAAAAGCTCAAGAACAATCTATCCACAGAGGCGGTCAAGAGCTACCGCAAGGAGGCGGCCAACTCGGCCATGCTGAAACACAAGCGCAGCGATAGCACCATAACTCTGTCCAGCACCAGCAGCGAGGTGCTGCCAAGTAAGTGCCCACCAGTTATTCTCACCGAAATCTACGAAATCATACTTCTATTTTTGTTGTAGTTGCCAATGCGAATGCCTCGCTGAAAAAGGCGCCAGGCCAGATCCATGCCACCGCCATGCTGCAGCAGCTCATCGCGGAGGCGGATCACAAGTTCAATGTGTACAGCGATGATCACAGCACACAGTCCAGGGAATTGCAGCTGCAGGGACTGCAGGCTTGCTCCGTGCAGGATATTATACATGAGAACTGGTCCATCAGTCTGGTCAACTCTCAGGTACTCCTCAAGGGCTGCGAAACGTCCGGCTATGTAATTATCAGTGCCGCCAAGGCGGAGATATTGCAACGCGAGCATCGGCCCGTCTGGCGGGATCGTTCACTCATCTCGAAGACAACTTGGAAGGGTTTGCTGGAGTGCATGCAGTACTATGCGACAGTCAGTGCCGGCGATAACGATTCGCTGCTGGAGAAAGAGATCATGTGGCTGACGGTGGACAATATACAGGACAAAGATGAGACGGTGATCAATAATCACCTGCCCGAGGATATATCGCATCTGGTGGGCAGCGGACGTAGTGTGGGCGGCGTTGTTTCCGAAACTGTGGGCGCCTTCCTCAGCGACAATTCTGGCCAAGCACAGCCGGTGCAGCTGCAGCGCATCGTGTCCAAATGTAAATGCGAGTTCTTCTATGTCAGTTATGGCGATGCCATTGATCCGAATAGCATCACAGAGGTGCCGCCGCCACCGTCCGAGGAAACGTTGTCGCCTTGGGAGAAGCAGGATGATCCTGTGGATGCTTTCACGCTGATGCATCACGATCTTGATGTGTGCACCAATTCGCTACAGTACGCTATGATCCTGGACATTGTCAACAATCTGCTGCTGTACGTGGAGCCGCAGCGCAAGCAGGCGGCCGAGAAATTAGCCCGAATGCGCTTCCAGCTGCAGCTGCACTCCACGGAGGATCAGAAGCGGCCCATCCAGCAAAAGCAGACAGTCATACGCAGCCTGTTGATGAAGATACGCTCACTAGAGAAGGACATACATCTGATCAGCAAGGAACGAATCGAAGAGGGCGACACGCTCGAGCTGCGCGTCGACTTTGAGCGTGTGCAGCAGCAGATACGCGAGAGCAAGGAGGAGTTGAACACATACAGCGAGGAGCTGGACATGATGTTGCTGTGCTATAAGGAAACCCAGCTATCGCAGCTCAGCAAAATCTCTAATGTGCGCTCGGACAAGTCGGTGACAATGGTGCGCGCCAATGAGATCTGCTTCAAGCGCGCCCAGTGGCGACTCACAGAGACGGATGGCCAGATTGGCATTGCGGATTTGGTGCTGAGCGCGTTTCTCTATACCAAAAAGTCCAAGAGTGATGATTCCGTGGAGCATCTGCTAGAGCTGGGCAACATACGCATGGAGAATCTGCTGCCACGTGAAATCTATCGCGATGTGCTGCTGGCCACGGAGATACAGAAGGATATGCCCGTGGACACGCACAAGCGTGTGCTGCGCATCTTTTGCCGCGAGAAGCCGCCCGTAGGCGGCATTTCAGTTAAAGATCACTTCGAGATTAACGTGGCACCAATAACCATAGCAATTACCAAGAAGTTCTATAGCACTATGTTGAAGTTTTGCTTTCCGGATCGCGATGCATCCGAAACTGAGGTTAGCGATGAGCTGGATGACAATGCATCTACCAGTTCAGCGTCCACAACGAATTTACAAGCCAAATCGGGATCATCATCGAAGCGCGTGGCCAAGAGCAAGAAGAGCGCCAAGGATTCTGAGTTCTACGTGAAAATCGAGAAGGATGACGTGGAAAAGATGAAGGAGCGCGCCGAAAAAAACAAACTATTTATCTATATTAAAATACCCGAGGTGCCGGTGCGTGTCAGCTACAAGGGCAACAAGGAGAAGAATCTGGAGGACATAACAGACTACTCACTGGTCATACCCACGCTGGAATATCACAATGTCACCTGGACCTGGCTGGATCTGCTGCTGGCCATGAAATCGGTGAGCAGGCGTGTCATTGTCTCGCAGGCTATCAAACAGAAGCTGCAAATCCATCGACGTCAGCCGGTGCTGTCGGCCGGTGAGCGTGCCACGCCCCAGGAGGAGGATAAAGCCAAAATGCTCTTTGGCAATCGTTTGCTGGTGAGTTGATTCCAACCAAGCGCCGAGATTGCAATCTAATATTATTATTATTCTTTCGCAGAGCGAAAATCGCAACCAAAGAAAAGGTGGCGGCGTCTTCAAGTTTCCATCGGGCGGCGGCAAGAGATCAGATTAATCATATTTATTTAATATACTAAATACATATATCTAGTTATATGCATATCTATTTCGGATGTGAGATTCGCAGCGGCGGGCCAGGCCAATTGCCAGACGAATATCGAGGCCCTTTTAATTTATAAACACACACTACAACACAATCACACTAAAGTATTACCCAAGTCTATAAATATAACAATATATTTATTTATGCATGTGTCTGTCCGTCTGTCTGTTTAACCATATAATTATTAATCTTGTTGCAAACTGCTTTTGTTTCACTTTAGCAAATAAAGAGAGAGAAAGAAAGAGAGTTAACTGTTAGCTGAATTTCTTTACATACCACAATGATATATTAGGACTTTAAAACACTTAGATTAACTAAATATGCATACGCTTTAACTAACGGATAACATTTACTTGGTCAGCTGCTTTAACGGTGGCTGCAAAACAAGATGCACAATAATTTGCTTTATTAAAGGATTCAAAAAGGACTCTCCCACTCACCAGCACAAAGACGCGTTTGGGCAGAGCTCGCTGCACGAGCTCGTCGAGCAACGCATTCTGGCCATCATGCTTTTGCGGATCGGCCTTGGTGTTGTACTCCAGGGTCAGCACTGGCAGCTCCTGCCAGCCCACCTGGAGCGGATACAAATTGTAGACCAGCTCCTTCTCGTCATACGCCATTATCGAGACATCCAGCTAAAGTAAAACCATGCCAGGACATTAAATACATATTGACCAAGTAAAATAATCCTCAGACGCACCTGCTTATGGCCGGAGCATATAAAGTTATCCGATTTGCTGATGGACAGCGTGGCTATTAGATGGAGCACATGCATTGTGGGATTCTTGAGCACCACCTTGAATGCCATGGGCATTTTGACGAACATCTTCTCCTCGATGGTGCAGTATATGTTGAGCGGCGGCTCCGCTATCTCAAGGCCACTTATAATAAACTTGGATTCATTTTCCTCCTTGGCGCCAGCTCGTCGCCAGCGTATGCAAAAGACGCCAAAGCGAGGCGTTGCGGTCGCACCTGCTGCCGAGTCCAGCGTGTAGACGCCTTTGATGAAGCCGCGACAATGACCCGTTGCCTGGACCGCCTCCAGCGCTTTGTTGTATATTACACGCATGCTCTTGGGCGCATCCTGGCCCGCGGCTGGCAACGCAGTGCTGGCATCCTCGGCGCCTGTGAGGCTCAGCTTGCCGTCATCGGAATGGATCGAGTTGCTCATTATGCCCGCATTGGACAGCTGCAGTGCGCTGCCCATGCCCGGGCTGTTATTGATGATGGTCATTGTTGTGGGTATCTTGGCCAGCAGGCTCTTGCTCATGTAGGGATTCAGTGCAGCATTTGGTGCCTGAGACGGCGCATCGCCAACTTGGCCTGTTGCCATCTGTGGCTTTTGTTGCCGACTGACAAATTTATTCGGCACACTCTCCTCGGACTTGGAGCGCTCCAGATCCCGTGCAGTCGTCCAGTCCTGCAGCGTGGCATTTGTGCGCAGCACAATGACGCTTTCCAGCTGGTCGCCTGCTCTGTACTTGTTGGTGTACTTCTTGCGCTTAAAACTGTAATTCGATTGCACTAAATTGTGATCCTGTCGAGAAATACAGGGTATAACATTTGAACTGGTTCTAAGAGACGCCCACTTACACATATAAAGAAGCTGTCGAGTATCTCCACCTCATCCACGGCCAGCACCTCCGTATTGGCGCGCAGCAGAAAGTTCTCGCCGCGATAGACCTGGCTCAGTGGCCGACGGTTGAGCGTATAGAAGCGCGCACTGAACTTGAAGTCGCCGGCACAGCGCACGGTCAGGATATCCTCGCGCGACTTGCGCAGCCGCGTCTCGTCCAGATACTCAATCTGAACCGGCGATATGACCGCCAGGCTGTTGCTGACCAGCTTCACGTGCTCGGGCGTTGTATCTGTGCTGGTGGGCGTGATGCTGTGGGTGGCTGTGGCAGCTCCACCGGCGCCGGCGCTGCGATCCACATCCAACGTGTAGCTGAGTCTTTGCTGCAATTTGATCTCCGCCTCCACCAGGCTAAAGATATAGAAGGTGGCAGTGTTGCTGCCATGTCCGGACAGCTCACCCACATCAATTTGGATCTGGGCGTGCAGCTTTTGGCGACCAGACGAAACGTCTGTGGTGAGAAAAACTGCATGCAAGAAGGCGACAAGTTTTTAGGCAAAGCTTGAATTCATGAAAATCACATAGAAAACTAGGATGAGAGTGTGAAGGCGACAGGGTAGATAATGAGAAACAGAATAATGAAGACGAGAGATCTCGAAAAAGAGAGAGAACCGCGGGCCAGTTTAAAGTAACACTAAAAATAGACTTATCGAATAAAACATGTAAGTACAAGGAAAAAATGAAAATCGCATAGAAGAGCCATATTAAGAAAGCATCCTTCAAATTCCGTTTTCAACAGAAAATAAAGCTTAATGTTTTCTTATATATATACTTTTTTTGATTATCAGGGTCAGATTTCCACTTTTCCAAGTTTTAAAAAAAAAATTTAATTTTTCACAGACCAAGGGATCGAAGGCCTCCATCCACGCCAATTAAACATTCCTTTCTTTTCGACCTAAATTCCGTTGCTTTGACGATACGAACAGCGTATTGCCCTTGCAGCTGGTTGCACCCGACTAAAACATTATTTAAAGATTTTCAACAGTTGTACTTCCAATAAGAGTTGAATTGGCTTTCAACGTGTATGCTTCCAATAAGAGCTGAATTGGTTTTACGAGTCAGACTTCCAATAAGCGTTGAATCAGTTTCGCATCGTTTATAATTATAATATTAGTTCAATTAGTGTTCAGTGCGTTCGGCTTGGATGTTCTTTGTTTTGGATGCCATATTCCAGAGTCCACAGCTCGAGCTCATTTTATATAGAGTCCACATTTTGGTACAAAGAGTAAATAGCAGAGCGTAATGTCAACAAACAGTCTGAAAAGACAATGTGTGGATTGTGTAGCTGGGCAAGTTCAATGCTGTGTGTAAACAGGTGGGCACAGGTGGGCGCAGGTGTTCTAAGTGCTGCTGTAAGTTGTTGGGAAAGGTAAGTAACGCGATCTGGCGGCCTTCTCCACAAAAGCGACCTATATAAATAGCTTCAGTTGCGTCGCGTGCGACAGTTGATTCATAGCCTTCATTACAAGCACACACACGACAAGCTGGAGATGCAAATGGATTTACTGCTCCTTCTCCTGCTGCTGCTGGGCAACTGTGCGGCTGTTATCCTGGATAAAGTGGATCTCGGGCGTGTGCCTCGGGTGGTGGGCGGCCAGCGCATTGAGGTGAACACGCAGCCGCATATGGTGAACATCCGACGACGCGGTGACTTTCAGTGCGGCGGCTCCTTGGTGAGTCCACGTTGCGTGCTCACCGCCGCCCACTGTCTGCAGGCACAGGAGCACCAGCCGACGGATTATGTGGTGCGCGGTGGTGTGACCTACTTGAGGGATATGCGGAATGCGCGCTATGTGAATCGGATACTATTGCCGAGTGGCTATAATCGGAGCACGTTGGATCAGGATGTGGCGCTGCTGCAGCTGCAGAATCCGCTGCAGGGAGCGCACATTGAGCCCATCAGTCTGGCGAGGCAAGCGCCACGAGCCGGCAGCTATGTGCGCATCTCCGGCTGGGGTCTGACCGACGAGCGTTCCCGCCAACTGCCCAATCAGCTGCACAGCGTCCAGGTGAAGGTGCTGTCGCGCCCCAAGTGCCAGCAGCTATATCAGGGCTACAGAAATCTGACGGCGAGCATGTACTGCGCCTCGGTGGCTGGCCACAAGGATGCCTGTGACGCTGACTCCGGCGGGCCGGCGGTCAATGCCGAGGGCCAGCTGGTGGGCATTGTTTCCTGGGGCCGGGCGGATCGCTGCGCACGCGAGGACAGCCCGGGCGTGTACACGAGCGTGCCGCATCTTTACGACTGGATAGCACACAATATGCGCAGATATTGCCACTGAGCACCGTTTTCTCCTGTCTCTGTATTCGTCTGCACTTAGGATTAGTTAGGCCATTGAGTATTAAAGTGAAAACTAGCCCTGATTGTGTTCTTGTTTGTTTCTGCCATTGGAATCCGCGCGTCACCAACAAGGCCCACATGGCCCATTCAACCCATTCAGAAGCCGAGCTCTTTCTTTTTTTTGGCAATACTATTTACACAGTTGTACGGGTCTGTTGGGTTTTGTTGTTTTTTTGGCAAGTGCCAGGCCATAAAAGCCGCGCCAAGGTTAATGCGCACACATTCCAAATTCAAAATGCGTTTGCGTTGGGTCTACCTGGTCTTTCTGGTGCTGCTGCTGGATCAACTGGCTGCGGCAGCGCGCCGTAACCGTGCTGGCAATAGGATAAGGTCGCGGACTACAGCTGCTGCTGCCCGCGCCAGTAGCCAAGTCCAGCCACGCATCGTTTCAGGCAGCACGAGGCGCACGACGACGGCAACCAGGTCCAACGCTTCCGTGAGGCGTTCCCGGCCACGGTCGCGCATCGTAAACAGCAGCTCGAAGCGCGCCAAGAGGAGAGCCAACCGGCAGAGATCAGCAAATAAACGCACAACTAATCGCAGCAATAAAACCTCCGCTCGCATCGTCGGCGGCGTCCAGGCACGCATCGTGGGCGGCTCCACGACCTCGATTAGCTCCATGCCATATCTGGTGCAAGTGCATCGTGACAGCGCGCTGTGCGGCGGCTCGCTAATCCGAGATCAATGGGTGCTGACTGCCGCCCACTGCGTTTCCGGCCATGCCGCATCGTCATTCTATGTGATCGGCGGCACATCCACGCAGAACGGCACGGACGGAGTGGTACGCACTGTTACCTATGCCAGCGTGGCGCCCAAGTTCACCACCAAATCCATGAACATGGATGCGGCGCTGCTGAAGCTGAATGCGACCATGACGGGCACAAACATTGGAACGATTGCGTTGGGCCAGCGCATGCCCAGGCCGGGCACTCGGGTGCGAATTGGCGGCTGGGGCGTCACCAAGGAGGGCGGCGATTCGGTCACAAATTTGAGATCTGTGCAGCTCAAGGTCGTCAAGCAGAAGGTGTGTCAAAATGCATACCAAGGATCGGCCACAATTACCAACTACATGTTCTGTGCCCAGGCCAAGAACAAGGATTCCTGCAGCGGCGACTCTGGCGGCGGCGCCGTCCAAAACAATCGACTAATGGGCATTGTGTCCTTTGGCATGGGCTGCGCCAGAGCTGGCTACCCCGGAGTCTACACCAGAGTGGGCAGGATCCGCAGATGGATAAACAATACAATTGCTAACAATTGATGTTAATATATTAAATAAAGATTTGTTAATATTATGGTTCACAAAAAGCTAAAAATAACTGATGAGAGTGGAGCCTGAGCAGGGATTTCAATGCTTAACAGTATTTAATCATAATCTCTATATAGAAAACTTGTAATGACTGACTGATTGCTGATCGACCCACTTTGTTGATGCTCAAACTCTGCATAAATGTATACCTATATGCCTGTTTATACATACATGTATGCATGTTTGTTTTTTATAACATATGCTATCATGCATACATACATACATACATATTTACATATGTACATGCATATGTACGTACGAACATACATATATACATTAATACATACATACATACATACATATAGACATACATCCATACATACATACATATGTACATATATACATACATATAAACATGCACACATACATACATACATAAATACATGCACACATGCACACATAATCACATACATACATACATACACACATATATACATACATATATAGATACATACATACATACATACATACATACATACATACATCTACATACATACATACATACATACATACATACATCTACATACATACATACATACATCTACATACATACATACATACATCTACATACATACATACATACATACATCTACATACATCTACATACATATATACATCTACATACATCTACATACATATCTACTTACCCGCCCCACCTCCTCCTGGTCCACCGCCTCCTGGGGTAGCTCCTCCACCGGCCGCTGGAGCCAACTGACTGCCTTGTTCAATTTCAGCAAAGCCTACTTACATTTTTGAGAATCGAGGAGGAGAGCGCTTAAAAATTCATTTAATTTAAAGTCGTAGCGCAGTGATATGAAACTTGGACTGTGTTAAGATAAATAAAACATCCATGCATACGTACACATACATACTTACATACATACATACATACATACATACATACATACACACACACGCACACACACATATGTACATGCATACATACAAAAAGAAAACACAAAAAAAAATCCAAAAAAAAAACACCACTTCTAGCTAAGCAGAAAAAGCTGCAGAGCCTACTTGAATTCTTGAGAATCGAGGAGTAGAGCACTTGGTAGAAATTCGTTTTATTCAAATTTGCAGCACAGCGACAAATAAGCTAGGTCTGTGTTTGGTATTAGAAAACAAACATGCATGCATACATATGTACATAAATGCATATATACATACATACTCACACACACAAACACGCATCCGTGTGGCAGGTGGCCAATTGAATACTTGCACAGCTAATATATTATATTTAAGACAACCTTTCAGAGATATTGCAGAAATATATTTATAGCAAACTGTGTTTTCCTACAAAATACTTTGATTTAAAGATTTTCTTTTCTTTACAATTACTGATTTACAAATAGCGCCCGATTTCTGCCATAAATAAAAGCGAGAAAGTAAGTAGGTCTACGGTGCGCCGAAAATTTAATAGCCTTGTAGACATTACACACGCAAAAATAAAGAAAAATTGGATATCCTTTTCCTCTCGAAAACCTACTATAACAGCTTTATATTCTAATGGTCCGATCCGGCTGATTACGACACATGTAATGCCTGCAAGAGAAAGAAGAGCGCCTAGATCTCATAGAAACGACAGACGGAAATGAAAGAAACTTATAATACCCTCCACAATATTACAGTACATGATACCCTATACAAATTATAAGAGTTCAACTTCTGCTTCACACAAATGGTTGGCTCTTCTATTGGATATGCTCTTAAGTAATCAACTCGATGAGCAACAAATAAAGTTAATTATAGTTTTTTTTTTTTGAGTCAACAATAAAACCCGCTCAAATATCGGTAAAAACAATTGTGCAAATGTTGATCGACTGATCTACTACAAAAATATATCAGCTCAGATTTGTTTATATCGCAGTCAAGGTATAAAAGCACTTGGCCCCATTCCCCAAAAGTGTTAGTTCTTCCTGATTGAGAACATGCTCCGATCACAGCTCTTCGCACTGCTCTTGGCCATTGCTCTTGTGCTGGCTGAAGGAGACCAGCAACTGATAGAGCCTCGCATTGTTGGTGGCTATGTGGCCAACATCAGCGATCTGAAGTATCTGGTGCAGGTGGCCACGGCGGATGAAATCTGTGGTGGTTCCTTGATTACGACACGTTGGGTCATCACGGCCGCCCACTGCGTCCAGCGGGTGAGCCTGGCCCAATTGCATGTCTATGGCGGCACGTCCGAGCAAAGTGCTCCAAATGCCATACACCGTTTAGTTGACCTGGTCGCCATTCCGCCCGACTTTAGTATGAAAACCATGAACATGGATGTGGCGGCATTGTACCTCAATCAGGACATGACCGGTTCGAATGTGCAGACTATTGGACTGGCCAGCCAGCCGGTGCCGCCGGGCAGCCGGGTCAAAGTGTCCGGCTGGGGCGCCGTGAATCCCGGCTCCTCGGAAACGGCACGTCACGTGCACAGCGTCATAATGCCCGTGTGGTCGCAGGCTGCCTGCCGCGCGGCTTACCGTGGCATGCAGCACATCAGCCGGAGCATGATCTGCGCGGCCAAGCCGTACAGACGGGACTCCTGCGACGGTGACTCCGGCGGTCCGATGGTCTTCCGCGGCGAGCTGGTCGGCATTGTGTCCTTTGGCTACGAATGCGCCGGCCGCTTGCCCGGCGTCTACACCAGCGTGCCGGCGATAAGAAGATGGTTTATGGACGTCATGGCAGAGTATTCTTAAGTAGTTGTAGTATTCGTAACCCAAATAAACTAGTTAAAGATTACGCTTATCTGCAGTCAATTAGCTGAAGAATGTGGCGGGTCGTCGGCTATATAAGAGCTCGTTCCTGATGCTTCCGCAAAATGTGGCTCAAGCTTTTAATCTGGCTGGCGGCTCTGATCCAATTGCTGGCTGGCGCTCCAAGCGAACTGTTGGGCAAAATCTTTGGCGGCGAGACGGCATCCATTGCTGACTATCCGTTTCTGGTGAACATACGACGTGGCAAACAGTTTAGATGCGGCGGCGCACTCATCTCGCCCAGATGTGTGCTGACAGCCGCCCATTGCCTGGAGAGGCGTCACCAGCAGGTGCACGATTTGTTTGTGCACGCCCAGCAACAGTGCCTGGACGATCCAACGCCAGAGGCGCATGTGCGCCAGGCCTGGTTCGCTTGGGTACCGCCCAAATACCAGCCAGGACGTAGCCTGGACGCGGATCTGGCGGTTATCATACTGCGTCAACCCTTTGACAAATCGGCCAAGGCCAGCACGGTTCCCGTTGACTTCAACGAGCTGCCCGAAGGTGCCAATCTGACGGTCGTCGGCTGGGGCATGACCAGCAATGAGGATCATAATTGGAATCAATGCCTGCAGGCGACCAATGTCAGTCTGGTGCCGCAATGTGATTGCATCCAGCAAATGGGCAAGTATCTACCCGTCACGAACAATATGTTCTGTGCCCTGGGCGCAAATTCCACCGATGCCTGTGCCGGCGATTCCGGAGGTCCCCTTCTGTACGCGGGTCGTTCTGCCGGAATTGTATCCTGGGGCTACGGCTGTGGCTCCGGCTTACCTGGCGTCAATACACGCCTCAGCAGCTTGACGATGACCTGGTTCCTGAAGAGCTTTATAGAGCAGCACTGCTAATTGACTGGGATTAGTCCATTTAGTGAATTCTACTTTTCATCGGCTCATATTAAAGTTTGTTTCGATTCAAATCTTAAGGAAATTTCCATTTCGGTTCTTGTTTTCAATGAGTCTATTTCTTGTTTAATTTTCTAGCGTTCAATTCAACGTTCAATCTTCACTTTCAACTGCAATTCAATTTCCTTCAATTTCAATTCTAATTGCATTCATATTAAAGTTTGCTTAGGCTTCAATTTTCATTTCTCTTCTTGTTTTCAATTGGTCCAATTCTCTTTCAATGTTATAGCATTCAATTTCAGCATTCAATCTTCAATTTCAACTGCAATTCAATTTCTTCCCATTTCAATTTGAATTCTAATTGGATTATCGTGAAGAGCACACAATAATATCATATTGTCGAGGTGAGATCCATTGAAATAGTTAGTTACATATAATTACAGCTTGTTATAGGTTTAAGCGTTCAATAAATTGCTCCACAATTTACGTTGCCCACTTTCCATAGCCTCAGTTTGGACACGCCATGATCTGGTTAGGGTTGTGTGGGCTGATTGGAATGCTCCGTGCTGGGGAAGGACAACGGATTATTGGTGGTCAGGAGACGAGTATCAGCCAGGTGCCCTATTTGGTGTATCTCCGTCAAGGCGGCGGCTTTATCTGCGGCGGTTCTCTGCTGACGACCAGTTCAGTGCTAACTGCTGCGCATTGCGTCTACGGCGCCCAGGAGCAGGAGTACACTGTCCATGCGGGCGCCAGTCGTCTAGACCAAACGGCGCCCGTGGTACGTAGTGTTACCCGCTTTCACATAGCTCCAAACTACGCGGCCAGAAACTTTGACATGGACGTGGCCATACTGCAGCTGGCATCGCCTGTGCCGCTGACAGCTGGTCAAGTTGCCACAATTGCGCCTTGCCGATCGCAACCGGCTGCCAACACATATGTCCGGATCAGCGGTTGGGGCGTGCAGCAGGAGAGTAGTCGGAAGCCAGCGGCCCAGGTGCGTACAGCTGTGGTCCGCGTGCTGCCCGGCTTGGAGTGCCAGCTAGCCTACGCTGGCCAGGCGCAGCTCAGCGATTCCATGCTATGCGCTGCTGTGCGCGGCATAAAGGACTCCTGCTCCGGAGATTCTGGTGGACCGTTGGTCTATCGCGGCGAGGTCTGCGGCATTGTCTCCTGGGGATTCGGCTGTGCGCGTGCTGCCTATCCCGGCGTTTACACCAGTGTGGCCAGCGCGCGTGTGAAGCATTTCATAGATAAAACGCTGGCAAAACTTTCGAGTTTGAGCTAGTTCCGCGAGCTGCGTACTAGTTCCTTTTTGATAATTGTGAACCAAAACTAAATGCAAATTCACAATTGTCACTGTGCACTTAATAACTTAATTGGAAATATATAACAATAATGATATGCTATTTACTATTATTTCAATAATTGTTATGATGCTTATTGAAGAGTGAAAACAATAACATTTGAATTTAACGACTGGTTAACTTTTTGTTATTTAGGAGGGGAGATTTTCTGGCTGATCGCCTAAAGTGTGACTTTATCTAAATCTGATTATCTACATTTTAAATAAAGGTTCGCGCCAGGTTCCCAATATGGATTGTCAAATAAACCGATCTTTAAACCAAATCGAACCTTATTATATTCAAAATTGATTTGGGCTAAAAGAAAATACCCCAACGCATTAACAAATTGTGTCCCAACCATTGGATTTATCTAACCATATTTGATAGACTCCAATTTTGGGAAGAGTTCTGATTTAGTCCGCATATTCTATATAAAAATATCTACGACTGACAATATTTTCAGTAGAACGGACAATTAGTTAACAATTAATTAAAATTTTGAAAATAGATGACCGAGTTGTGAACCAAATTTTCGAGAATATGAATATGAACCTCAAGGCTGGTTCGATCCATAATTTGAACCATCGACTTTTTTTTGGGCTTAAAGCGGAGTTTTTTATACTTAATAATATATGTATAAGAAATATATATAAAATGTCATCAAGGTCAATAACGTTTATCTGACTCGTGTTTTAATGACTCTGTTCGAGTTTCGATGGGCCGCACACGATAGAACAACAAAATGGTTTATTAAAAATAATTATTATTTGCACAATAAAACAATGTTACAATTATATTTCCTCAAAAGGGGCCAGCATATAAAGCCGTGCAAACAAACGCGCGAGCCGACTCGGATCTGGAAAAGCTTTGTGGTTGCGACTCTTTCGACTCTGTTTGCACAAGTGATCTGCTAGGAAACGCGCCCGGCAGCGGCTAAAGCAAATATTTGACGCAATGCGTGGCTGTTTTTGCTGACAAACCAATGCGAACGGGGTTGCTGCTGCTGGTGCTGGCTATGCTCCTGCTCCGGATAGCCATTGGCAAGGCCGTCAACGAGGCGGGTGCGCGCATTGTTGGCGGTGCTCCGGTGGATATTAGCAGTGTGCCCTACTTGGTTAATCTGCGCGTCGCGGGCAATTTCATTTGTGGCGGCACACTGGTCACGCCCACTCATGTGGTGACAGCAGCCCATTGTGTGAAGGGCGTGCCGGCCAGCCGACTGCAGGTGGTGGGCGGTGCCACAATGTTAACGGATGCGACAGGTGTGCGACGCGGCGTGGAAAAGGTGTTCACGCCCAAAGCCTTCAATACACGCACCCTGCACTCGGATGTCGCGGTGCTGAAGCTGAAGTCGCCGCTGCAAGGTACGAACATTGCGACCATTGAGCTGTGCAACTCCAGCTTTCAGGCTGGCGACCTGATCAAGGTCTCCGGCTGGGGCAAGACCACCGAGAACAGCAAACGCGTTTCGCAGCATGCACGCAGCGTCGACGTGGCGCTGGTCACACGCAGAAGCTGCATCAATCAGTACAAGCTGCGCGGCGCCATTACGGACACCATGTTCTGTGCCTCGGTGCCGGGCGTTAAGGATGCCTGCGAAGGCGACTCCGGCGGCCCGGCTATCTATCAGAATCAACTATGCGGCATTGTCTCTTGGGGCTTGGGCTGCGGCAGACGCAATTATCCCGGTGTTTATACAAGTGTCAAGACTGTTAGGGCCTTTATCGATAAGGCTTTAGGCATGTAACCAAAAAGTGATCAATCAACGTGGACGATATCAGAAATAAATGCAGAACTATGGAAGGTGTTTACATTTGTAACAGAAAAATTATTCTTAATGTAAAACAGATTAAATACCATTGCAAAGTTTTCATACTAATATCAACTGATTGTTCACATAGAAATCAAATGAGGTCTATTTAAAGCCTAATCAAAATAGTTTAACAGCGGAAACAAAAAAAGAGAGAAAGTCCTAGAAAGTAGCCCCCCTCGACTATAGTATAATGAAAAAAATTGGAACAGTTTTAATGGATGGTTAGATTACGGGCACGAGAATGGGATCTTAACCCAGTTAGAATTGACCCATTCGGCAGTTCCGTGCTCAAATAGATCTTATATGTAACTCCAAATTGGATCAACATAATTGAATTACGAATAATACGTATCCCACTTACCGCTATTGCGCAGCTCCAACGGAACGCTGATGTGCACGCCCACATTCTGTAGATAGACATTATACGGATTGCTAATGGTGGTCACCACTGGATAGTACTCATTGACCAGCATTGTTGTTGCTGTTGTCGCTGCGGCGCCTGTGGGGCAATCGCCCAGCACATGTCCAAGGTTGGTTTGAGTGTTCAAATGGAAGCTGCAATGAAAGTTCAACGGAGCGTTAAATGAAGGCATGCAATCGCTGGGCGAAACGTTTATAGCTTCCGGTACGAAGCGTTTTGACCTACGTGGGCGCAATATAGCAAATGGGATTTATTGTCACATTATCATCCAGATCGCGGCTGCGCGTGTGATGCCGGAATGGCTGGCGTGCATAGTTGGCGCTGCATGTTAGCAATGCGCCAATTTGATCGGTGCCCATGAGCGCCTCCAGGCGCACGATGCGCAGTTGTGTGTTCTCATTGAACTGCTGCGCCTCCGTGCTGCACATGAGCTGGTAGTAACAGCCGGGCTTTAATCGCTTGTTCTTTTCATACGTTTTTGGTTCCAAGTGCTCTTTTTCCAGGGACTGTTGCTGCTGCTGGGCACGCAGCTGCAGCAGACTGGGGAAACACAAATACTTAAGCGCCTCTAGCTTGTAGCTATTTTGCGGATTACTGGCATCGGCGAGCAGCACCTGAAAGCTGCGTATGCGCAGCGGCACATCAGTCAAAACGCTGCGCGAAATAAGAAATACAATTAGCATATACTAAATATGTGCATAGGCAACTGTTCCAACTTACCGCACTATCAAATGCAACTGCAGCACATCGTTATTGTTAAGTTGAACTTGTTGGAATGTAGCGCACAGCTCAAGAACATCGCTAACCTTATCTAAATCTATTTGTATGGGCGATTTTACGCTGGCCAGTGCGTTACTCCACAGCTCTTGAATCTCGGGTGTCAATTGAGTTTGTGGCATAGGTGGCACGTTCTGAAAGACTTGCCATAAGTTCTCCAGCAGCAGCACGCGCTCCTTTTGCTCGCCATGATGACGCAGCGACAGCGCCTCAATGCTGCATGCTATGTAATCGGCCACAGAAGCGGAGAGCAGCGCACAGCGTAGCGTCTTTAGCAGCACATCACTAAAAATGGTCGACCATTTCTCCTGACGGTAATCGGGCAGCATTAAAGAGTACAGACTAAAAGAAGAATCAGCTGGATTATAATCAAAATTAAACAAATAGCAGCTACTCACGTTAATGCCTTGGCATGATCGCCACTGCGCAGATACTCCTCAGCCATGTCAATAGCTAGTTTTTTGCGAAATCTCAAGCACTTGTAGATCTTAAACTGCGCCATGGCCTGACTGAGCAGCGCTATAATAGCCGATGAGTGATTATAGTTGCATTCCAGCTCGCACAGCTGCACATTCGCCAGCTGCTCGGCAACTGGATCACCCGTCTTCACTGCACGTACGCCAAAAAACTCGGTGTATAAACTGGACTGCGTTTGGCTCGGCGTTGGCATTGGCTTTGTTGAACTCGTACTTAAGAGCGTGGCACTGGCCTGTTGGGCAGCCTCGCGTCGCTTGATCACATACTCAGCGGCCTTTTGGAAGTAAATGCCCGGATGCTGGGTCTGAAGTGCAGGCAAACCATTTTTGATGGCCTCACAGAAGAGTTCCGCGAAGACAGAGTGTCTGCAAGCAACAATTTTATGTATGTATATTTTAATGTGTTTGAAGGCCGTTTAAATGTGCAGCTTACTGCGTACTTAGCCAAGCGTGATGCTCAAAGGCTAGATCCTTGAAGCCCACGCAATTTTTGTATTTCTCAACATGTATAATAAACTGATTGATGGAATCCCTTGGTGTTTTCAACTTAAACATTAACCGACACATCTTATAGTTGAGAAAGCCGGCCACCGTTTTTATTTCCATACAATTGGCATCAGTGATCCGTATCTCATCCAAGTTTCCATAGGCCTGAAAATAGTGTCTGCAAGCAGAGTAAACATCATTGCATTGCCAGCTCTATTGTTGGAATATTCGCTTACTTTTGTGCCGTGCTAAAGTCCTGCCTGATCTCTGCGACAAATCCTAGCTTATACTGATGGCGTATCTTGAGTGTGGTATGCGCCGCCGAGAGCTGATCGCGGTGCGTACGTATTCGTTTGGACATAAGTGCATAGTAGGACTGAGCCATGTCCAAAAACGCTGACTCCAGACGTTGCGTATAACCCATCAGATGCTCCGTGTGTGGCAATATGAACAGCATTTTGCTGGTAATGCCACAAGCGGTAGTTAGACTGGCAGCACGCTCAGCCGCCAGCATATCCTCGCCAGGAGGAAGAGGTGCTGACTTCTGGAGCAGCACTAGGCACAGCCTCGTATTACGTTCTTGTAAAGCATTTTTTAGGCCTTGCACAATTGCTGCGCATTGCACTTGTTTCTCTGTCCACTGGCCGTCGTTCCATTCGATATCCTGGAAGAGCACCACGACTGATGGCAAGACATGGAGATGCTTTAACATCCAATTTCGCTTAAGTATTCCCTTTGGATGGTACCACTCGTAGGATGCTCGTTTCGGCTTGGCGACTGGAAACTCATAGTTCGGAGGCAGTAGTTTATATTGCACGGCAGCGCGGTCCCTCTCCCTGTCCGCTGGCTTCCGTTGTAGAGTGCCGCTGAACGCATCCCAAATGGATTTGTGCACGCTCTGGTTCGCGATATCCAAGCCACAGAAACCTATCAGCGGTTGTGGTATTACGAGCAGCTCTGACGGCAAAGTGGTGGCATCAATCGTCATAGTTTAGTATGTGTTATAGATGTGATTTCCCTCCCCGCACACTGCTGACAAACTCTACTTCAAGGCCTGGGCGCTGGTCGTTAACTGGGCGTGGATTTCGCGTTTGCAATGCCTTTAGTGCATTGGGCGCACGCACTACAACAACTTGTATGTATTGTGGAGCTGTTGTTGCCAAAAAATCCAGCAATTTTTACCGTATAAAATGTAAATAAACGCCGCCCCAGAAAATGCAGTTTGCAATCAGCTGTAGCTGTACGTAAGCTTGTTATCGTCATCGAACACCGATAACTAGCTGCGCATGCAGCCCTGAGCATAGCTGTCACAGACGCACGAACTGTCAGTGGGTTGCCTTCGGCTTCTTTATACGTGTCGTGTACTACGTACTTTCACATTCATTTTGTTATTTTCGCTCTGAACGCAGGTGATGCTCGCGTGTGTATGTTGGAAAGTAATTACAATTGTATTAAAACATAGCATTTTTTTAAATTTCACAGTGCAACTACGTCATAAACGCATAAAATGGCTCCACCACAGAGAATGCGCGTCGCTAACGAAAAGGCCAGCAAATATGTGACAATGCGTGGCAATGTACCCAAATCCTCGGTAGGTGTTAAAATCCGAACGAAATTGGCATGTTTTTAATATATAATATGGGGGTCACAGTGTTATCCACTGCCACAACTGCAAAACAATAGAGATAATGGCACCTGCACGAGCCAACTAGATTCAATACCAATACCGAAAAGTGCCACGCCGTCATTGATTTTATTGTTGTTGCAAGTGTGCATGTGCGTATCTGTGTGTGTATGTGTGAGTGTGAGAGTTGAGTCGAATGTTATCGCTGCTTCTGGAATTGCTTAGCTGTGGCTTCGATCTCTTTAATTAATGTTTATCTCTGGTGTTAATCTCTTGTTTTTCTCTTGACAATTTCCAGAAAGCGAAAGAAGGACAATACCCTGTGGGACCCTGGCTCTTGGCATTGTTTATCTTTGTCGTCTGCGGATCAGCGATTTTCCAGATCATACAGTCGATTCGGGCTGCGTAAACCTGAGCGTACACAAAATTTAATTATATATACCTAAGCTCAGCATACTAACACACACACACACACACACACAGACAGAACAGCTTTGACGTCTTCTCTCAAGAACCCTTCGTAACTAAACTATCCCGGCATTATGTGCAACGTCCGCAGAGATATTGAACTCCACGACAACTTGGCTTTTTAGTTTACCGAATTTTATGCAATACGTATTTCTATACACATGCAAAATTTAAGTCCATATTGTGTAATTTTTATTAATAATTAAGCTTATAAACCGAACATTATGTACGCCCATATTGTGAAAGCATTCCTGCAAACCGCTGCGCGCACTTACAAAATACTTATTTGCTGATTGTGCAAAAGGTATGCACAAGTTTATAGATAACTGCATTTTAAAAAGCTTTTGCAGCGATTTGAATAGTGCAAGTGTTTAAATGTTATTTTCGGATACGAGGACGACTAGAAGAAAAAATTTATAAGTAAATACAATGATGAATATAATATATGATAATTTTTTACAACAAAATAAATTTGTGTTCTTATTTTATTAATAACATCACTATATAAATATACTTTTTCCATACACATCATAATTTTTCGGGTTTCGGAAACAATGTTTAATATACCTTCGGAAGAAACGGTATATGTATGGTGCAGCTTAAATTTTATTTCAAAGATGCTGCAGCCCTGGCAGTTGTGTCCCATACACGTTACGATTAAATTAAATGTTCTGTTTGACAATATTTATCTGATTTAATATTAAAACAAATCGTATCGTGTAAGGGCCTGACACGAGTCAAACAGCTGATCACTTTGGACGCGGGTGCTTTTCCGATGAATAAATAAATATTTTCGTTAAAATAAGCCTGTAAGGCTATTTAGAAAACTAAAAAACTAATGCGACGCATTTATACAGCAGCCAACGCCCAAATAATGTCGAAAAACAAAGGAAAAGGTAAAGCAACGCCCGCTGCCGCTGCGACAACCCCGCCTGCCACTAATACGCCGGTCACACTGGACAAGAGCGGCAACATTGTCATCAAGATTCTGGCGAAGCCGGGTGCAAAGCAGAATGGCATCACGGACATTGGACTAGACGGCGTTGGTGTCCAGATTGCTGCGCCGCCCAGCGAGGGAGAAGCCAACGCCGAGTTGGTAAAATTTCTGTCCAAAGTACTGGGACTGCGCAAAAGCGACGTTTCCCTGGACAAGGGCTCCCGTTCCCGCAACAAAATCGTGCTCGTTAGCAAGGGCGCGTCCACAGTGGAAGCCATAGAGCAATTGCTGCGAAAGGAATGCGAATCTTAGGCGTAATATTAAAATCTGTATTTGCTAGTTAATAAACGACTTTTATAATTTTTAAACACATTTGCTTGTTTATTTTAGTTTATGTTTTATCATCGATCCGATCATCCAACCTTATTACATATTCCATTAAATAGCTAACGCATACGAAGTCTTTGTATTTCTTTCTTTCGTTACATTAATTACTTGGATTCTAAATTAGAAATTTCTTATAAACGACAACTGCTCTAAATGAATGTGTAAATCCTAATAGTACAAATTATTCTTGATCCTTGAGTTAAGCGTATTTCTGTCGCCTATAACGCGACACAACGTAAATACAAATTACAATGTAAACTGAAGTATTAAATAATATGTTGTCAAGTCAACACAAGAAGCGGTTCCGACAAAGGAAATGAAATGTGATCAACTTTTAAATAATTTTGTAATGGTATGGTTTTCCTTTTGGTGGGGGGTGGGGTGTGTGTACGTGCGAGGGGCGGGGCGGTCGGTTTGTGTGGCTGCTTAATCGACCTCCTCCATGTGGGATGCATCCTCGGTGTCCTCAACCAAAGATGGAGCATCGCCAGCGCTTTGGGCATCCTCGGTGGTCATGGGCTCATCCTCATCGATGCCAAGACCCAGCTTGATCATGCGATAGATGCGGCTGGCGTGCACCTGGGGGCTGTCCAGCGAGAAGCCAGATGACAAGAGCGATGTCTCGAACAGCAAAATGACCAGATCCTTAACTGCCTTGTCGTTCTTATCGGCATCGGCCTTCTGACGAAGTGTCTCGACAATTGGATGATCGGGATTGATTTCCAGATGTTTCTTGCCGGCCATGTAGCCCATGGTGGAGGTGTCACGCAGAGCCTGGGCCTTCATGATGCGCTCCATGTTGGCGGACCAGCCGAACTGCGAGGTGACAATGCAGCAGGGTGAGTCGACCAAACGGTTGGAGACGACAACCTTCTCAACTTTGTTGTCCAGAATCGATTTCATCAGCTTGCACAGGCTCTCGAACTTAGCCTTGTCCTCCTCGCGCTTCTTCTTTTCGGTCTCATCCTCGGGCAGTTCCAGACCCTCCTTGGTGACAGACACGAGCTGCTTGCCCTTGTATTCCTTCAAGTGCTGGATGACGTACTCATCGATGGGTTCGGTCATGTAGACCACCTCAAAGCCGCGTGCCTTGACGCGCTCAACGAAAGCCGAGTTGACGACCTGATCCTTGGACTCGCCAGTGATGAAGTAGATGTGCTTCTGGTTCTCCTTCATCCTCGACACATAGTCGGACAATGAGCAGAAATCATCACCGGAGGCCGAGGTGTGGAAGCGCAAGAAATCGGCCAATTTGGCGCGATTGTTGCTGTCCTCGTGGACGCCCAGCTTTAGGTTCTTGCTGAACTGGTCGTAGAACTTCTTGTAGTTCTCCTTGTCCTCGGTGAGCTCCTCAATCAGCTCCATGGTCTTCTTGACTAGATTCTTACGGATGACCTTCAAAACCTTGTTCTGCTGCAACATTTCACGGGAAATGTTAAGCGGCAAATCCTCGGAGTCGACCACACCCTTGATGAAGTTCAAGTACTCGGGAATGAGATCCTCGCAGTTGTCCATGATGAACACACGGCGCACGTACAGTTTGATGTTGTTGCGCTTCTTTTGGTTCTCGAACAGATCGAAGGGTGTGCGGCGTGGGATGAAAAGCAGAGCACGGAACTCCAGCTGACCCTCAACGGAGAAGTGCTTCACAGCCAAATGGTCCTCCCAGTCGTTGGTCAACGACTTGTAGAACTCTCCGTATTCCTCCTGGGAGATATCATCGGGATTACGTGTCCAGATGGGCTTTGTCTTGTTCAACTCCTCATCTTCTGTGTACTTCTCCTTGATCGTCTTTTTCTTCTTGGCATCCTTATCCTTCTTATCGGCGTCCTCATCTTCGCCGACATCCTCGATCTTGGGCTCATCGGTGTCCATCTCCTTCTTCTCTTCACCCTCCTTCTCATCATCCTCATCATCGCTAACTTCCTTCTCGCGCTCCTTCTCTACCAGCAATTTGATGGGGTAGCCAATGAACTGGGAGTGCTTGTTGACAATCTCCTTGATCTTGCTCTCCTCCAGGTAATCGGTCTGATCCTCCTTGATGAACAGCACAATCTTGGTGCCACGGCCCAAGGGCTCGGAGTTATCGGCACGGACAGTGAATGAGCCACCAGCGGACGACTCCCAGACGTACTGCTCATCATCGTTGTTCTTTGAGGTGACGGTCACCTTGTCGGCAACCAAATAGGCCGAATAGAAGCCAACACCAAACTGGCCAATCATGGAAATATCGGCACCAGCCTGCAATGCCTCCATGAATGCCTTGGTGCCCGACTTGGCAATTGTGCCCAAGTTGTTGACCAAATCGGACTTGGTCATACCGATGCCGGTATCAATGATGGTCAGTGTACCAGCGGTCTTGTTTGGGATTAGCTTGATGTACAGCTCCTTGCCGGAGTCAAGCTTGCTGGGATCCGTCAGCGATTCATAGCGGATCTTGTCGAGCGCATCAGACGCATTGGAAATCAATTCACGCAAGAAGATTTCTTTGTTCGAGTAGAATGTGTTGATGATCAACGACATGAGCTGAGCAATCTCAGCCTGGAATGCGAAAGTCTCAGCTTCTTCAGGCATCTGCAACCAAAAACAAACCAAATTAAAATTAAGTAAACAGTGCACACACAATTATCCAGGCCAGAAAATCTGCATGCATTCCTTGCAACTTCACGAGTGTGAAAATTTGTCGCCGAAAATTCAACTTCAAATTAAATCGGATTTTCCGCCATTTGCATTAGCTCCAATTAGAGTATATTCGTGCACATAAACTATTGCTTGCTCACTCACTCATGCACGCAAGTACATACATTCAAAAGCGATGTACACACTGGCCTCGCTCCTTCGCATGTACGAGTTTTGTGTATGTATGCACGCATGCATGTACATATTCAATTGGAAAAATCGAGAAGCGTTCCCTTGCCAACAAATACAATTGCTTGATGTATTCTAGAAATTTACCCTTTATATATATTGCAATTGGTAAATACAAATCTTGCTTTTTATTCACAATGAATTTCTAGAATTTTTCTTTGAAGCGCCGAAAAATTTCTGCGCAAATTCGCACGTGTGAGAGCAAGACAAAGGCAAATAAATGCAAATGCAATTGTATAATGTGCGAAATATGAAAGTACGTAATCTTCATCGAATTTCTATAACTATTTGAAATATTGGGAAGACTGTAAAAAAAAATAAATGCAACCTTCTGGAAGCAATGCTCGAGAAATTTCGAAAATTTTCTTCAACCGGCATAATTTGCAAGTGAGTCAATTCAAACGCGCGCTCTTTAATTTTGTAGCTGTGTGCGTGAGCACGTTAAACCTTGCATTTAATTTAAATTTCACATATTATAAATGAAACATAGTTCGTTGGGCGGCAATTTCTAGAACTTTCTGCAATCGATACCACAAGGAATTGTGTCAAGAGCGCTTCCTTTGCATACACACATACATTTGTTAAAATTCACGAATGAAATTGCCTTTGTGCAGCATTTTCTCCGTTTTAATAAAAAGAAATGTTGCAAATTTGTCGTTGCTTACCTTGTATGTCTTTGTTTCACAGAATTAACTTTAAAAACAATATACTTTTCAGTTTTCTTTGGGCAGAAAATGAAATTCACTTTTTCGCTTTGCTTTGCTTTCAAGCAGACGCTTCACAATGCTCACCGCACGAATTTTGTTTCAATACTGACAAGCCGGCATCTGCTTACTGCTGCTTTTATAGAGGGTGCACAAAATGCCTCGAAACTTCTAGACACTTCTAGAGACTTCTCGTCGCCAGGGCTACCTCTTCCGGTTATCAACACATTGTTGCATAGCGACAACTGGCAGTGTTGTAGGTGGATGGTTTTGTAAAGTTCTAGAAAATATGTATAATGTTTGGGATTTATTGGTGTTTCAGTATTATATAAAAAAACCTAGGTCATTTAATAAACCCATAAACACTATTGGCATGTTAATAAGCTTTAGCACAAGAATTATATAATCTGCAATACATGAGAAAAGTATAATTTAATAAATATTTTAAATTATTTGTATTCTCAGTCTATGCGTACTTTTAGTATATTTTTCGTTTTTCTTTGGTATTTTAGTGCCAAACTTGGCATGAACATAAAGTGTGCCCGACCTTTTCTTTATGTGAATTTTGGAACTAAGTTAGTAACGCGTTTTTTGTTTATGCCGTCGTTAAATTAGGAATAAGAGAATTGATAATCTGTTAACATGGGTGGCACTCGCTGCGTATTTCGCGACTGTCAGGTCTCAACACAGCGTAATCCGAAGATGCATTTCTTTAAACTGCCAGTTCGTGATCCAGTTCGCCTGGAAACCTGGATAAAGAATTGCGGTAACGCCGACATTTTAAATGTTACACGGGAGAAGCTATCAAATCGCGCAGTTTGCGCCCGCCACTTTCGCTACGAATGCTTCATGAACTACAAATTGGATCGACTTATTCCGAACCAGACACCAACATTGATGCGCGTCAGCAAGGATCTGGCCTGGGATCTGGAGCACCTCGACGAGAATGGCGAAGCCACAATGGTCAAGCTGTCCATGCCCACATTGTCACACTTGATACCTCCCGATAATTTCGAATGCCCACTTGGTTTCACCGAGGATGCACGATTTGGGCGTAAATACGCAGCGAGAAGACGAACGCCCCCAAAGCCTTTGACCCTGGAACCAAATAAAAAACAAAAAGTTGCGCCGGAGCAGCTTAACAAGACTGAGGCATCCAAAATTGTTGACTTGAGCACAGTCAACATAGATGATGGAAAGCTGGACAAGGAGCTGTCCGGAAAAGTTGTTGATATGGAAATATTAACAGAGCCCAATAAAGCGGAATCCGCTGCTCTGCAAACTTCACCCTCCACCGAAGAGATTCCCCAAGAACTGCAGCTTAGGTATGACCAATTGAGTGCAAACTACGAGCAGCTCTTAAGGGATAATGCCGATTGCAAGCAATCAATAATAAGACTAGAGGCTCAAATTCAAGCCTTAAAAAGCAATAGCACAACCTCCTCCTGTACGCCACAATTGACCAAGCCACAACTGTATAATGGCATTAAAAAATATCTGGGACCAACCATGGCTGCGCTCGTGCGTATGGAAATGTTTGGCGGCGCCGAGCGTCCATGGAAGGAAGATGAGCGCGACTTTGCCAAGGAGCTGCTGCAGCTCGGCGAAGACGTTTACACACATTGCTGCGATGAGTGGCGATTCCGGTTGCCCTCGCTGCGTATGGCACGCAGCTGGCTGGATGACAAAGGCGCCGCAGTTTCCGCAGATGAACAGCTATAGACGCAACATTTGATGTCATCTTTTCGGATAAGATCAGCAGACAGAAATGTGTTATCTTTAATTAGGTGTATATAAAAAAACTTGTTCTCATTTGGATGTTTTTTGGCATCAATGCCAAATTTATATGTGGCACAAGCAGCAGAACTATAATTTATTTGCTCATGCCAATCTTTATGATTATAATCCATGCCCATGGGCTCCGTATAAATCATAATTGCCGCATTATTAAAATGCGATTTGGAAAATAAGCACGCTTCAAAGCTTTTTCGGCCTCTCAACCGAACAGACATATCAAACGAAGACTTCAGGATGAGTCCGTGTCACAAAATTGCAGCAGTAAGTAAAGAAGAAAAATGTGCTACAAAATATGCCCTAACATTTCTTATTTGCAGTTGATAGTTCTGCTTCCATTGCTGGAAATGATAAATTGCCAAACGTGCTCAGATTGTTCACAGACAGACGACATATACGCCTGTGTGGACGAATTCAAGTATGGAATCTGCTTCGGTCTGGGTACCGTCTATCCCAGTGCCATTGAGTCATGTCCAGATGGTTATTACTGCAATGTTGGGGGCACATTTTGCACTCCGATGGAGACCTCTTCTGTTAGTTCTTTAGAAATTATTAACGTTTGCAATGCATAATTTCAAGTTCCAATATTGTAGCCATCCTGTGTAACATCCACGACTACAGTGGCAACCAGTGAGCCGTCCTCATCGCAGTCCACCGAATCGACTACAGGTATAACCACGGACTCGTCCACCTGCTCAGATTGTTCACTGACAGACGACGTGTATGCCTGTGTGGATGAATTCAAGTATGGAATCTGCTATGGTCTGGGTGCCGTCGACCCTGATGCCATTCGTTCATGTCCAGATGGCTTATACTGTAATGTTGATGGCACATTTTGTACACCGATGGAGACCTCTTCTGTTAGTTCCGTAAAAATGTTAGAAGTTGGCAATTTTTAATCTACCATCTTTTTATTGCAGCCATCCTGTGTAAGTACCACAACTGTGGGGCCCACTGCTTCGCCAACTTCACAGACCACAGAGTCGTCTACATCGCAAACCACAGAAACGTCTACATCACAGTCCACAGATTCGTCGACATCGCAGTCCACAGATTCTTCAACAGTTACACCCACTGAATCGTCCACCCCACAGTCCACAGAATCGTCTACATCACCGGTCACAGTAGCATCTACATCACAGGTCACAGATTCATCTACATCGCAGGCCACAGAATCTTCAACAGTTACACCCACTGAATCGTCCACCACACAGACCACAGATTCTTCAACAATTACATCCACTGAATCGTCCACCCCACAGTCCACAGAATCGTCTACATCGCAGTCCACAGATTCTTCAACAGCTACACCCACTGATTCTTCCACCTCGCAGTCCACAGAACCTTCTACATCGCAGGTCACAGAATCTTCTACGTCTCAGGCCACAGATTCTTCAACTTCTACACCCACTGATTCGTCCACCTCGCAGTCCACAGAATCTTCTACATCGCAAGTCACAGAATCTTCTACATCCCAGACCACAGATTCTTCAACAATTACACCCACTGAATCGTCCACCCCACAGTCCACAGATTCGTCTACATCGCAGTCCACAGATTCTTCAACAGCTACACCCACTGATTCTACCACCTCGCAGTCCACAGAATCGTCTACATCACAGGTCACAGAATCTTCTACGTCTCAGGCCACAGATTCTTCAACAGCTACACCCACTGATTCGTCCACCTCGCAGTCCACAGAATCTTCAACGTCGCAGGTCACAGAATCTTCAACATCGCAGTCCACAGAATCGTCTACATCGCAGGTCACAGAATCTTCTACGTCTCAGGCCACAGATTCTTCAACAGCTACACCCACTGATTCGTCCACGTCGCAGTCCACAGAATCTTCAACGTCGCAGGTCACAGAATCTTCAACATCGCAGTCCACAGAATCGTCTACATCGCAGTCTACAGTATCGTCTACATCGCAGTCCACAGATTCTTCAACAGCTACACCCACTGATTCGTCCACCTCGCAGTCTACAGTATCTTCTACAACTCAGTCCACAGATTCGACAACACCAATAACGACAACAGCTGCTCCCGAAGTTGATCCCGATGTATACTGTGCGGGTGTCAACATGAAAGGCTATTTCAGAGTCGAGAGTGATTTAACCTGCAAAGAGTAAGTTGCTTGCCAATCGCCTTATAGTTAAAAGAATATATATATTATTTATGTTTCTACAGATATGTGTACTGTTATAAAATATCGGGCGAATACTTCGGCTGGCTCTACTATTGCAACACCAACGAATATTATAACTCCAAAACGACTCTCTGCGAAACTGAACGACCTGATGACTGCTAAAAATGATTATTATGTTACATAATATTCCTCGCAAATCTGTATACAAGTTCTATAAACTACTGCGAGGCAGAAAACTAAATAAATATTTTATATAACTGAATAAAAATAACTATTGTTAGTTATTTGGCAGGCTTTCCAAAATGTGGCTGGAAAAACTGTATGCAAGTTTTATAAACTACTGCAAGGCAGAAAACTAAAAAAATATTTTATATAACTAGATAAAATATAAATGATTATTGTTAGTTATATATTAATAAACGCTTCTCTGTGTTGTTCATCAACGAGTTTAAGTTTAAGCTTTTCTTGTGTGTATAGAACAGAGAATATTTATATTTATTTCAAACTATTAGGAAAAGAAAAACAAAAGAGTAATGAGACAGTATCAAGCTGGAGACGCGTAAGGAAAGTAATAAAATGTTTATGTACAACTTTCTGGTTTTTCATTATCGCAGTAGTCTCCGTTAAACCAAAATCCTGTTCCACACTCCTGGACAATGGCAGTCCACCCATTATTGCCATTTTCGCATTGCACGTACCTATGAGATAAGTTACACATATTAGGTGGACAGCATTGTTAAGGTAGTATATGCTTACGTGGCACAGGTGGGATCCGATTTATTTGTATACCAGCCTACCGTTTGAGTTTCCTTACAAAATGTGTCTGGATCCCATGAGGCCTCCGTGGTGGTAGCTGGCGTGGTGGTTGACCCAGTTAGACAATTGGTAGTTCCGCTTGCTTTTGGATAACATATATATTTTTGCCCGGTGCAATGATAATCCGTGGGACATTCTATATAATCCTCTGTCGGAATGCCTGAATAATTGTTGAAGCTGAGTGAATCGCTCTGCTTATGAATGGAGCTTTCATCAATCCTTACCATTTAGGCAGATCGAAAATGAGGTTTCACTGTGACAGGCAACAGGAACTTCAGTTTGGCAGACATCGCACTGACCCATTAAACTGGATGGAAGGGCTAAGGAAACTATAAAAACCAGAACCTAAAAGGGAGAGTAACATATTCGTTATATCAAATAAAGGACAGATATATGCGTTACTTACGATCTTCGAAAAGTGAAACATTTTAGAGCATGTGCAGTGCAGCGACTAATATGATGGACTGGCACAAATTGATGGATCTCTTGATTTATATTCTAATCTAATGTGCACAGATAAGAAAAACAACCTTGATTTTGATCACATCATAAAGAATTTTTTGGCTGTATATTATAGCAACTGCGATAAACCTTGAGAGAGTCATAAACCAAAGTTAAGACTCGTGAGTCTGGGATAATCATTTTCTTTGCGAAATATTATCTTAGAGAATCAACAAAATGGTGCAAAATAATTAAGAGCTGTTCTCGATTCTCTCATGTTATTTAAGAAAAACAGAAAACAAGATATTCTTGAATAGTTGGCGACATTTTACTTAAACAGCATAGTATAAAATTGTTTTAGGTGCAATTATCTGGCTTCACGGAATCACAAGCTGTCCCATTAAAATATGGCTTTTTCGATGATGAGCATTCAACTATAGATCCAGTCATTGCACCGCTTCCACTTTTATAACAATAAATGAACCTAAATCAAATGAATAACATTATATAGGGAGTAGTAGGAGGATTGGTAAGTTACTTACGATTTACAGGTGGGATCGCCTTTGTTTACATAATTATTAGCCTGACTCTGGGTGGAGCAAAACGCGACTGGGTCCACAACGGGTATACAGATGGGTTGATAGTCAGTTTCTGGATAACAGATATACTTTTCGCCGGTACAAATGTAGTCAGTGGGACAGGTTATAACGTCGTTGGTGGCCACTCCTGTGACCAGAACAGAATGGCTTCGGTATTATAACATCCACGAATCTCTCATGACATATTTACCTGCTATGCATATCGAAAAGGTGTTCTCGCTGTGACAAGCTACATTTCCAGACGTACACACATCGCAGGTGGCGTGCAAATATTGCACCAACAGCTTTTATTGGAATTGTATTTATTAATGTATTATAACTGAATGTTATTGAGTTTCTAATTGAGTCTTGTTACCAGAGATACAAACAGCTTTGACCACATCTTGCCTCTAACGCGCGCACTTCACTTTTCTAACTAACAAATTTTGGGCTAAGATTGTGGATTTTATGTACGTTTTTTACGCTGATAAAAAACATATTATCTAAGCTAGAAATTCGTCATTATGCTTTTTAGTTTATGAGCTATTTGCTAGAGTTTTATTTTGATATCTTATATATTTAATAATCTTATGTAAATAAACGATGTCCAAGGTTTAAGTATAAGACACTTTCTTCACCATCCACTAGCCTCCCAGTTTGTTAGGCAATTAACTATCAAGTCCCTTTCTTTAGAAGACAAGAGAGGAAACTAAAAGAAACTGAGAGAAACTAGAATTTAGAGTAGCATATTTCATATATCAAATATGATGACTTTTGATCTCTCCAATGGCAGCACCTCTTTTGACATACTGGCACAAATTCATGAATATCTTGATTTATATGCTAATCCCGACGCACAGATATGTGAGTCAGAGATAACCGCATTTTCTGCGAAACTTTATCTTAGATAAGCAACAAATTGGGTAAAATAATTAAGAGCTATTTTCTCGATAAAAAAAAGCAAGCATATTAAATTGTTTTAGGTGCAATTATCTGGCTTCACAGAATTACAAGTTGTTCCATTAAAATATGGCTGTTTCGATGACGAACATTCAATTATATATCCAGTCATTACACCGCTGCCATATTTATAACAATAAATGAAACTGAAACAAATGAAACAAAATGTAACATAGAGTATTGGTGAGTTAATTACGATGGACTTACCTACTGCAATTCGGATTATTTGAATTTTTATGGTTGCCAATTGTGCACAATATGCGCTTGGATCCCAATTGTCTGCCTCGGTGGTAATTGCAGGTTCCGGCGAGGTTGTTTCTTCGGAATTTTCAGTATGTTCACTATTTGCTGCCCCGGAGGTTCTCGGCTATGGTTTTACGTTCAGATTAAACTTAATTAACGCAGATGGCGCTGGCAAAAAACTTTAACGGAAGGGATATAGTAAGTGTACTGAGAGTTGGATGATTTAGCTGCGATTTAAGTTACCAGAGATATTAACAGCTTCAGCCAAATTTGTTGCGGTTGCGCTTCTTTCAATTCTCAAACTAAAATGCTGTTCAGAAAAAGTTATCTTTATGTACATTTTTGTGGGAAGATCGCGCATTGGACTTTACAACGGCTTTAATAATTTATGAACTTTATGTTTGTGGTTTTATTGCGTATTTAGGCGTTTGTCAATAAATTAAAGAACGTTACTTCTACTTTAATTGTTATTGCTTAGTCTTAGAAAAATATATGTATATTCACAAATTGAAGGCGCATTCGTTAGCTGTAAGCTGTAGTATACAATGTGTGTGGCGTGTAGGAATATATTCGAGTTCAAGTGTTACATGTAAAATGCACATATATAATCATAATAATATAACTTTTGACCTGTGGCTGCTCTTGGGGCAGCCCAATCTTGTGGACGTTACGGACATACATTTTGGTGCATAAGTACATGGGTATATGAGTAAACATGTATAAATATATATATATATATATATATATATATATATATATATATATGCTGCTAGGTAATTATGAATTCGCACAGTTGCCGTAGTCTTCGTTTAGTTACATATAAATACAGCTACAATTTGTATATCTATCTATATCTAGTTGTAAAACACAACATACACAAAAATTGATGTAAATGCTACGTATATAAATTGCAGTTTTGTTTGTCTGCAGCTTAAGGCAAATCATAGCATTTAAGAAGCACTTAGTAAATTTCTCTTCTGTTAAGCTAAAGGCATAAATTCGTTACTTTCTAAAACGAAATAATACTTCGTCGTCAGCAAATGCAGTTTTCTCGTGTTCGAAAAGATCTAAACGCAGCCGTATTCATACCAAATGCTGTTGCTCTTATCCTCATTGCGTTTGCGCAACGCTTTATCGTCCTGGTTGGCGCTGCCGGCGACGCTGCCGCCACTGCCGCTGGCCTGCAGCAGCGGACTCTGATCGCTAGTTGTTGTATTGGCAGGTGCACCGCCAATGGTTGTATTGATGCGATTGTACATAAGAAACGTGGATGGCTGATTGTCGTTCTTCAGTGGTGTTTGTGGCTCAGCTCCGGTGGCAGCGGCGGCGGCGGCGGCTGCTGCAGCATTGTTGCTGGGCGTCGGCGTTGAACTAGCTTGCGGCTGTTGCGACTGCTGCGCTGAGGCGCTAGAGCCATCCGGCAGCTTTTCGTCGATTAAATAAACGGTGCGCCGAGAGCCCGCAGTGCCAAGCGTCAAGCTGCTGCCAGTTACATCCGGTGGTTCCAGGGTGCTGCAAGCAAAAAGCTATTAGAACAAATTGACTTTAAACGTGGCACAAATGCAATTTATAGGCAAAGCGATATCCACAAACAAAACACATATATAGACAGCGCTGCATCAAAGGAGTTGGGGAGTGGAATGATTTTTTGTTGTTGTATTAAGGATTTAATGTATGTTAGACATTTAAAAGCGCATACCCGTGCACGCTATTTCTACGTGAGTTACTCAAATCCGTACGTTTCTGTGCCTGCAGGCTACTTCGCACAGTGCCGCCGCGTTGTATGGAGCTATCCAGTAAATCTCTGTATATGGTACATGAACAATACAATATACAGTGTGTGTGCGTGTGCGTGTAAAGTTGTTGTTTTGTATATACATGTAAATATAACAAGAACAAGAACCATAAACCAAACTAAGTACATCATTTAACCAGGAAAGTAAATGCATTCGGCATGCCAAAGCTTGTAGGACTAACAAATCTGTATCTCGTAGGACTAACAAAATAATGCTTTCAGCTTTTTTTCAACTGGAGAGCTTAGCAAAAGTTTAAAGATTCCTTGGCGAGATTCGCAAATATTTGTTAAAGCAAAGTTCAAGTACTTTACTCAGTCAAATTTCAAGCGGATCCGGATAAAATAGTGCATAATCTTTTATAAAAACTTAATCTTATGGAGCATTGCTCGTGTCTCTACAGAGATTTCTTAAGACTCAGCTTACCGCTGAAGACTCTGACGCAGCGGCATATTACGCTGCAGCAAATGCGTGTCAGAGGCTATGGA